ATAGAATAGAATAGAATAGAATAGAATAGAATAGAATAGAATAAGAACGGAACGGAACGGAACGGAACAGAACAGAACAGAACAGAACAGAATAGAATAGAATAGAATAGAATAAGAACAAAATAGAATAAGAATAGAATAAGAATGGAATGGAATGGAATGGAATAGAACAGAACAGAACAGAACAGAACAGAACAGAATAGAATAGAATAGAATAGAATAAGAATAGAATAGAATAGAATAGAATAGAATAAGAATAGAATAGAATAGAATAAGAATAAGAATAAGAATAAGAATAAGAATAGAATAGAATAGAATAGAATAAGAATAGAATAAGAATAACATAGCATAGAATAAGAATAAGAATAGAATAGAATAAGAATAGAATAGAATAGAATAAGAATAGAATAAGAATAAGAATAGAATAGAATAGAATAGAATAGAATAGAATAGAATAGAATAGAATAAGAATAGAATAGAATAAGAATAGAATAGAATAAGAATAGAATAGAATAGAATAAGAATAAGAATAAGAATAAGAATAAGAATAGAATAGAATAAGAATAGAATAAGAATAACATAGCATAGAATAAGAATAGAATAGAATAAGAATAGAATAGAATAAGAATAGAATAAGAATAGAATAGAATAGAATAGAATAGAATAGAATAGAATAGAATAGAATAGAATAAGAATAAGAATAAGAATAGGAACGGAACAGAACAGAACAGAACAGAACAGAATAGAATAGAATAGAATAGAATAGAATAGAATAGAATAACAGAGTTGGAAGGGACCTTGGAGGTTTTCTAGTCCAACCCCTGCTTCGGCAGGAAACCTTATACCATTTCAGACAAATGGGTGTCCAATTCTTTTTAAAAAACTTTCAGTGTTGGAGCATTCACAACTTCTGGAGGCAAGTCGTTCCACTGTTTAATTGCTCTAACTCTCAGGAAATTTCTCCTTATGAGTCATATATTTATGCAGAATCTCAGGGTCACATGATCCACCTTTGTAACCTTTTGGCAAGCAAAGTCAATGGGGAAGGCAGATTCACTTAATAACTGTGTTATCAACCTTACACTTGCTGTGTTTCATTTAACAACTGTGGCCAAAAAAGGTTATAAAATAGGGCAAAATTCACTTAAATATCTCACCTAGTGACAGAAATTTTGGCCTCAATTGTGGTCATAAATGCAACAGCTATGCAGCCATCTCTGAATGAGACGCAATTGTTCCCTGATGTGCAGTGATGCAGAAAACTAACCAATGTTCTAGAATGTTTTTGAGAACATAAGGACTCTAGGCTGATGACACATTTAACTCTGCCCTCCAGCTCTGCCTGCTCTTCTACACATTCTTCCTTTTAACTGTTCAGAGGTATTTGCGCTTTGATTATGGTAGCCATTTTGACTTTTTCGCCATAATTTAAAGGCACTCTAGTTCCAAAAACTGTCTTGGGATTGCAGTAGAAGCCTGGCTCACCCTGTTTCTTTCCTTTACAGGATCCTGGTGTTACATGGAGCCACACTGTGGTAAGTAAAACAGAGCTACTTTTCTTTTTGACCCCCGAGATCAGAGGTCTCCAACCATGGCAACTTTAAGACTTGTGGACTTCAACTCCCAGAATTTCCTGGCAAGCATAGCTGACTGGGGAATTCTGGGAGTTGAAGTCCACAAGTTGAAGTCCACGATTGGCGACCCCCGCCCTAGATCATAAGTGGAAACTAATTAGAAACTAAGTAGAATTCTTTTATTGGCCAAGTGTGATTGGACACACAAGGAATTTGTCTTGGTGGAAATGCTCTCAGTGTACATAAAAGAAAAGATACATTCATCAAGAGTCAAGAATCATCAGGTGCAACACTTAATAATAGTCATAGGGTACAATAAGCAATCAAATCAATAGGAAACAGTCAATATAAATCATAAGGATACAAGTCATATTTAGTCTCAGCCAGAGATTGCTCATTGCATTTAAATTCCAAAACTCATCTTTGCAAATGTATCTCATCCCATGGCTTTACTTTGTAGTAAAAAAAGAGGAAAATCCTGTTCATATAATTTGCTAACCTTGAGCAGGATGTCCAGCAGAGATGGTAACTTTTAGGAAAACTAGATTCCCTATGTTTTTTTAAAAATGTATTTCTTTGGCACTTCGTCTAATGATTATCCCTTTTCTTGGGGATTGTTGGGAAGGTCCTAAATCCTGGATATCCCTTGGTCATTGCAATGGCAAGAGACAGTCACCAATCAACATTATTCACAGAGATGCTTCCCACAACCCCAGTCTGGGTCCTGTACACCTTGTTGGTTATGACAGCAGCAAGAAGCTGCTGGAAATCAGGAATACTGGGAAAACAGGTGAGTTACTGTGTTGTTGTTGTTTCTGGAATTTTATTAAGATTATCAAGATATGAAATACAAGTGAAAATATAGAAGGAAATGGGAAAAGGGAAGAGGGGGAAAAGAAAAAAAGAAGCATTGATTTCCAATTATTTTCTGTAATTCAATGGTCACCGATGTACTCAGATGACTACAACTCCCAGAATTCTCAGTTGTTCTTGGCTTGGAATTTTGGGAGTCGTAGTTACAGCTTCTGGTAAATGTAGCATGGGGAAAACAGGCAAATCAGATCAGATGAAATCTTCAGAAGGTGTACGGTTCATTTAATGATGGGTTGAAGTTACGATGGCTTTAGAAAAAAAAAAGACGTACTCTTTGTCTTTTAAGTCAGTGATCCCCAACCTTTTTGACGCCACGGCCCGGTACCGGCATCTGCTGGGCGCCGCGGCCCGGTACCGGCATCAGCTGGGCGCCGCCATCTTTTTTTGATGAAAAAGTGCTTCCGGTGAGCTTTCTACCCGGAAAAGCTCACCGGAAGCACTTTTTCATCAAAAAAAGATGGTGGCGCCCAGCAAGCCGCGGCCCGGTAGGAGTTGTTCCGCGGACCGGTACCGGTCCGTGGACCGGTGGTTGGGGACCCCTGTTTTAAGTGATAAGTGTTGCATCATCCCCGGAAATCATGACATCACAATTTGGGTGTTGGCAGTTGGCCGGCATTTATAATAGTTGTTGCATCTGACAGTCACACAATTGTGATTTGTGATCTTCCCAGCCATCTTGCAACAAGCAAAATCAGTTGGGGAAACTGGATTCGCTGAACACCTGAGTGCTTTGCTTAATAGCTGCAGTAAAAAGGATTGTAAGAACAATCACATGATTTATTTATTTATTTATTTATTTATTTATTTATTTATTTATTTATTTTGTCAAGTGATTATAAGATAACACGTATAAGTATAAACATAGTTATGAGTACATGAAATGGATACATATAAGAAAAATAAAAAGAAACAGTAGGACAGGGATGGTAGGCACGTTGGTGCGCTTATGTACGCCCCCTACAGACCTCTTAGGAAAGGGGTGAGGTCAATAGAAGACAGTCTAAGGTTAAAATTTTTGAGGTTTGGGGAAGAAATCACAGAGTCAGGTAGAGTATTCCAGACATTGACCACTCTGTTGCTGAAGTTGTATTTCCTGCAATCAAGTTTGGTGCGTTTTATCTTGAGTTTGTATCTATTGTGTGCTCTTGTATTGTTATGGTTGATGACTTGCTTAATAACCGAATTACTTAATGACTGAAATTGTGGTCCCAATTGCAGTCATAAATCGAGGATCAACTGTATTTTTAACTGCACTGGTTAGCACAATTGATTCTCATTATAGCATTTAGCTCAGAAGTGGACAACCATGACATTTAACCGGTGGACTTCAACTCCCAGAATTCCTGAGCCAGAATTCTGGGAGTTGAAGTCCACCGGTCATAAAGTTGCCATGGTTACCTACCCCTGATTTTAGCTCAAAGGAAAACAAACTTGGGCTCTTGAAGTGCTTTGGACTGAACTCCCACAATCAAAAGCCTCCGAAGGTTGAAGACCGGATCTAGAACGCTGAACACAGAACTGGATTTTTCTTCTCTCTTTAATCGGCAGTTGACGTATCCCTGGGAGATGGTCTTCATCTCGCTGGTTTTGGCCTTCCCGCCCGCTATACAGCCAAATCCTTTCACCTTCACTGGGGAGCAGGTGCCTCGCGACCTGGCTCGGAGCATCAGATTGATGGCAAACAATACTCAATGGAGGTGAGGTCAGATTCCCCAGCCGACTTATGTGGGATTCTCCTTTTTGTGGAGAGTCTACCAGTATGCTTTATTACAGCATAAGCAATTGTTTTAGCTGCTAACGGTTACAGGTAGTCCTTGACTTACAACTGAGATGGTGGTTCAAAGTTACGGTACTGGAAAAAAAATGACTTGGACCATTTTGCACACTGACAACTTTTGTAGCATTCCCCATGGTCACGTGATCAAAACTTGGACCCTTGGCGTATATTTATGATGGTTGCAGTGTCCTGAGGTCACATGATCACCTTTTGTGATCGTCTGACAAGCAAAGTCCATGTGGGAGCCAGATTCACTTAACAACCATGTTACTAATGTAACGATTGTCGTGATTCATTTAACAACTCTGGAAAAAAAGGTTGTAAAATGGGGCAAATCTCAACAACCATCTTGTTTAGCAACAGAAATGTTGGGCTCATTTTCTGTCATAAGTCGAGGATTACCTGTAACAAGGTTAAATCCTCTGGAAATTTGTCTGAAGCTTGGGAAAACCAAGAGCTTTCAGAACTGAATTAGCCATGTTGCAATTCCTGAAATCTATTGTCCTTCTTCCAATTATAGCTTTTCCATGGAATGTAAGAATTTGCAATATTTTAAGGACTGAAGCCAGATCTGGAATGCAACCAGCGGCACATTTCCCAAATTAAATGGTGCTAGTTCAAAGATTCAATTAAATACATAATTTAAAATCACATTAATTGCATTGCATTGACGCACTAAGTTCCATGTGTTTTATAGTTTCTATTGCATTTAAAATAGCAACCTACTGGCAGGTTCTGGAACTGTGTAAGGGACTGTATCTCAAATTCCCGAGGGCTACATGGGATCTTAACTTCTACATCCAAAGAAAAATGGTTAGAGCTGCAACATCTATCATGGCTTGGTTGCATATATCAACTTTTCCCAATGTGATATACTTAAAGAATCTATGGTTAAGGCTAGAAACTGGGAGATTGTGAGTTCTAGTTCTTCTTTAGCCATGAAAGGTAACATTAGGCCAGTCACACTTTCTCAGCCCAATCTGCGTTAGGAGATTGTTGTGGGGAAAACAAGAGGCAGGAGGATTAATTGCTAAGAGTTGATGGGATAAAAATCTAATAATAAATAAATATTGAGTGGAATTGTGGGAGTTATAATCCACTATACTTGGAGGGAAACAGGCTGGTCTAGTAGTTAAGATACCAGGCAAGAAAGCGGGAGATTATCTTAGCCATGAAAGCCCTTTGAGTGACTTTGGGCCAGTCATTCTCCCTCAACCTAATCACCTCACAGGATTGCTGCTGTGAGGAGAATAGGAGAGGGGAGTTGTATTGGATATGTTCACCGTTTTGAGTTATTTGTAAAAATAAGGACAAGATACAAATAAATTAAATAAATAAAAATCAGGTTAGGAAGCTTGGTCTATGATGATCAAGATACTAGGTCTCACAAAATCTTTGTGTTCTCTCTTCAGTTGCACATTGTACATACCAGAAACAACATGGACATGTCAAATGCTGTGAAGGATCCAAAGGGCATCGCAGTGCTGGCATTTTTTATTGAGGTGAGCCTCCTATCCAAATCAGCTACATTGACCAAACATGCCAATCTATAAAAACCAGGTGGTAAGATAAGGAAGATATTGACAGAAATGGTCAAAAGGGTCGAAAGCATGGAGGAAAGTTTTTCCCCAACAGAAAAATATACAGTTAGAAAATGCTCTGGCCAGACTAAATGTTCAGATGTAGTCTTCAACTTACAACCGGTTCAAAATTATGACGGGCCTCCCCAAAAGCTATTTACAAGAATTTCTGATCTCCACCCTTGTCCTGTAATCATGTGATCACATTTTGGGTGTTCACCAACTGGCCTGCATTTATAGCCATTTGCAGTGCTCCTTGGTCACATGACCACTATAATCTTTTTGCCAAAACTGACATTTATTTCTGGTTTCACCCCATAGCAAAGAACAGGTATACTTAGCAATTGCCGCATTCGTTTAATGGCTGCCACAAAAAAGTTTGTAACATCAGATCTGTAACATCGTAACCCACTTTATGACACAACAGACAGAAATTTCATGACAGAAATTACTTGCTCAATTACAGTCATATATCGAAAACTACCTCTATAGAAATTCATTCTGTCAGAGAAATGAGTATGAAAATATTTGTATTTTTCCCATTGATTAATTGATCCAAAGTGAGGGAATCAATATTTTGCAACTTTGGAGAAGAAACCAAGAGAAAAAAAAAAAAAGACAAAAACAATTAATCCGATTCTCAAAACATGCTTTCATTCTGTGCTTTTTATTTTTTTCAATCTGCTCCCAACCGCCACTTGAGTGTAATGTAAATAAAAGAGATAAGGGAAATCTACCAGTATTTCCCTACAAATAATAGATCATTTCCCCAATCAATGTGAAATATCGTCTTAAGAAGCACTTTTAGGGTGGCTGGGTGGCTGTTGTACAGTATATTTCCAGTATTTCAATTATGTTTCATTTAAAACTATTAGATTTGTGTTGCAAAACTAGAAACACCTGCTGGGTGGCAGCAAACAGACATCAAAAACTAACGTTGCCAATCCAGTATTTTTTCACTGTAAATTTCAAGGTAGGTAATATGCTATCAGCAGTGTCAATCAAGAATGCCTCCCTATGACTGACTCTAAAATTGCAGAAGAGTGGAAAACTGGAAGCAGTTGGCTAGGGGAAGAGAATATTCAATGTTCAAATTTGTTTCATCCCCAAATTCTTGAGTCTTATGGAGAAAAAGCACTGGAAGAGTCAGGGGGCAGACTGAAAAGAGGGCTTGGTCTAGAATCCCTACGTAGCTACAAAAGAACTAAGTTTATTATTATTATTACCTTTATTGTCAGAGGACAACATGTGTATAATGAAATTGGCTAAGCCTCCCTTCATGCACTCCCCCCCAACACAACTCACAGTGAGGACAGGAGTCCCTAACCCAGTCTCAATCTTATTGCATTATGTAACCTTGTTGCACAACATGCCATCCCTGCAACTTCTCTCCACTGTCATTGACTCTTACCTAATTCTAACCAGGTGTTAACCATTAGTGGAAAGATTCTTGTGCATGGGTTTTTAGTGTTGGAAGAAATGTCCATCTGGGTTCAGTTCCAGGTGGGGAGAAAGACACTGGAAACATGGAGGTTATTTGGAAAGATGGTTTAATGGTGGACAGGACTACGTGGTTTGAAGTCCTGGTTAGCTGATCACATGGAGTAGAGAGTGAGATATATTTATACTTCTGGTGGGCTTTGAACTTGCTTCCTGTTCCTATGAAAGAAATGTATTCTGATTGGTTGTCAGACTCCAATGGGGCCAAGCAGGGCTAACTTTGTAGGTTGTCTTGAGTCCCAGGCTTGGTTGAATTTTGCTGGGTGATGTAATCCTCCCAAGTGCCATGTGGTGAAATGGGTAGAGGGCTAATCCTTTCATGTCCTGAGGACCATGTCTTAATCTCATCACCCTGGAGCTGCAGGGAGCTGTTTTGTCTTTAAAAACATGTTTCTCCTTTTCTCATCCTGGGAAATATAATATTCTACCCTTTTAATATTTCCTAAAATATTTAATTCTTCTAGGAGAGGGGTGGGTGCTAACTTTCTACATTAGCAATAAATCAGTTAATTTGAACATTTACATATGGACCTGGGCATTCACGCCTGACATATCCCCTCCTATTCTTTCCTCCTTTTTGCAGGAATCTGAGAAGGCTAAGGACAAAACTGCGGAGGCATGGGAATTGTTTGCCAAGAACCTCAAAAAAGTTTCCGAAAAAGGTAAGTTTGTTGGATTTCTGGAGAGATGTTTGGATCTTCTTGTATATCTTCTAAGACTTCACATGGCTTCCATAACAAGCTGGAAAATTGATACTTCCACTTTGCAGCATCGTCCTGTGGGCCGATTGCTCCAACCATTTCCCCATCTTGTCCTGACATGCCTTTCTAATGACTTGCCAATCTTTAAAAAAAGTAAAACCAAAGTAGGTAAAATAAGCAACCTACATAAGCCAACCTACATAAGCAGGGTTTAGCACCTGACAAACAATCAAGCTGGATGCTGTAATCAAGGGCCTACCAAGGAGATAAAGGAACAAACAAACAGAAAACAATGCCCTAATCAAGGAACTATCAAGGAGAAAAACCACACCCAATCAACGTTGGTAGGGCAATTATAGAAATCGGGAGCAAATTCAGTAGCACCGATGAGGTTACCTAGTTGGGTAGTGAAAGGTCTGTAGAGCAAACAACCAAGGTCAGAGCATTAGGGATTCCACAAAATTTAAAGTTCCATGCTGGCTGAGGAATTCTGGGAGTTGAAGTCTACAAGTCTTAAAATTGCCCTGTTTGGACACCACTGCTCTAGGGAGATCAATGATGATATATATTTCCTGTCCCCTACGTATTTTCCTCATAGCAGCCTTGTGAGGGTGGATGGGCTAAAAGCTACTAATTGATACATAAAAACCTAGGACACTAGACCGCACTAAACTCGACCCCATTTAGTCCAGCATATTGTTCTCCCAGAGGTTGACCAATTGCACAAGGAAACCCATCAGTCTCCCAGCACATAGCCTTCAGAGGCAGTTTTACTGTCCTGAAGGCTAAAAGACTTTGGTCTCCATCACTTCCATGAATTTGACCAACCATTTTTTAGAGCTCTTGATTAGAGGTAGAAAATGCCTCTGGAGAACTTGTGCAGAAATTCGGTGGCTAGAGAGAGACATCAGTATGATTCAGCAGGAATATGCAACATCTCCCAACAAGTTTCAGAGCTGGCGGGATTTGATCCAAAGTCTCTTCAGTCTTAATCTGATGTTCCATATTTAACTAGAGCAGGGTCCCATACTTCTTTCAGGCTATAGATGCCGGCACAGGTGTGATTCTATACATGGAACTCTTCCAACTCCCAAATTCTTCTCACCATCATCACCAAATTCAGGCAACCTCACCAAAAAATGCAAGCTTGCATGAGATGCTTGTTGCTTGCTTGTTTTGCAAAATCTTCCGAATTTCAGGAGATTCTAAGCTTTATTTTATTTTTTTTAAATTAAGCTTTTTACATTTTGTTTGAATTTGAGCAGCAATAGGAACTGCCTTCCTGACAGAGACAGTGAGAAAGTTCTCGGCTCTAATTGGCTTTCCATTTTTCTTTCACAGTCAGTGTGAAAACAGACTTGAAAATAATTCAGTTGAGCAAGCAAGGCATAACTACTTTTACTCTGATTCCTGAACAGGGGAAGATGTGCATCTTGACGGCTCTTTTTCTCTGCTGGATTTGATGGATTCCACTAGCCTCGACCGTTATTACCGCTACCCTGGATCCCTTACCACTCCTGGCTGTGATGAGGCTGTAATATGGACCGTCTTTGCTGACCCCATCCTGGTGCCTCCTAAAGTGGTAAGAATACAGTTATGTCAGGATGCGAAGAACAAAATCCACACCTGAAGAGTTCGATTAGCCATTTTATGGCTCAGGCCTATAGAATAGGAATCTTCTGAAAGTTTGCACCTGAGTAAGACTATACAAAGCTCAATGGCATTCAAGAGAAGGGGGAGGTGTCAAACTATTCTTTTATGCACAAGTAGGGATTCCAGACTAATTCCCTGTTTGACTCCTTCCCCTAGCTCAGCCAGTCTCTCTCTCCAACAAGCTGGGAGCCCAGCAGAAAAATCCATAAAAGGACTTTGCTAAGGAGGAACTATGTGCAGCATAAATGGGGAAGTGCACACAGGTAGTCCTCAACATATGACCACAACTGAGCCCAAACTTTCCATTGCTAAACAAGACAGTTGTTAAGGGAGTTTTGTTCCATGTTATGACCTTTCTTGCCACCGATGTAAAATGAATCACTGTGGTTGTTAAATTAGTAACATGTTTGTGAAGTGAATTTGGCTTCAGCGTTGACTTTGCTCGTCAAAAGGTGATCGCATGACCCTGGGCCACTGCAACCGTCATAAATACACGCCAGTTGCCAAGCATCCAATTTTTGATTACGTGATCACAGGGATGTTGCAGTGGACATAAGACTAAAAAACGATCATAAGTCACTCTTTTCAGTGTCATTGTAACTTTGCACGATCATTAAACAAAGGGTTGTAAATCGAGGACTACCTGTAGGTAAAAAAGAGCGGACGTTTGATCATTCAGTTGTGGACACCATCTTGACTTTTTTGACCCCCCTCCTCCCCAAGGACACCCCTGAGAATGTCTCTCCCCTCTGAACTCCTTTCAAAATGGGCCTTTGAGTCTTTGCCCTCCCAACTCAGGGAGGGCAAATACAATTATGTCGTGAAATTGGTCCTCCCCGTTGCTGATCCATTTCCTGTTGAGGGTTTTTTTGGCTTTGTTTTAAGTCACTGCGCACCTGACTTTTCTCTGACATAATTTTACGGAGGGTATGTGCCTTATATGGTATCAGAATATAGTAGGAAACACTATTTTAACACAGGGGCAACTAAGGGTGACTTAGGTCCATGTTGCACATAGGCTGGGGATGAAGTAAAAGCAACATGGCTATACAAGCAGTCAGAGGATGTTGCCTAACCAGGTTGTTGCTGCGGTTACGTGCAAGAGGGAAGCAGAGTTTGTGGTTTTTAACATTAAATTGAGCTCTGCTAGAAATAGGTAGTTCCTTTTTGGCTCCCTTTTTTCTCTTTGGCTCCATGAATTACAAGTAGGCCTTGACTTAAGGCCACAACTGAGCCCAAAATTCCTGTTGCTAAGCCAGATGGTTGTTCAGTGAGTTTTGCCCCATTTTACGACCTTTCTTGCCACAGTTGCTAGGTGAATCACTGTTGTGTTATTAACACGGTTATTAAATGAATCTAGCTTCCTCATTTTTGCTTGTTGGAAGGTCGCAGAAGGGGATCACTTGACCCCAGGACACTGCAACTGTCATAAGTATGAGCAAGCATTTGAATTTTGATCATTTAACCATGGGGATGCTGCAATGGTCATAACTGTGAAAAACAGTCATAAGACCGTTTTTTTCAGTGCCGTTGTAACTTTGAATAGCCACTTAACAAATGGTTGTAAGTTAAGGACTAGCTCTACAGTAAGCAATCAGCTCCATTCACTATCAAAAGTAACTTTTTTTGCCAGGTTTTGAGAAGAGACTCCATCCTTTCCTGTCCATCTGTTTGATAGCCTTTTCTCCTTTTTTTGCTACAAATTAATTCCCATTGAGCTCAGCCCTGGGAATTTCCAACAGAGAGTTGAAGACCAAGCTTCTTAAATAACCACGGATGCACATGAAGGGGATATTGTAATGCTTCTTTGGGCTGCCAAGTTGTACATTGGCCTGGTTCATTTGTCCTGATGCATCTTAGTGATGAGAAATCCTGCAGCCCAACAGAGTAACAGTTAGAAGGGACCTTGGAGGTCTTCTAGCCCAACCCCCCCTGCTCAAGCAGGAAACCCTATAGCATTTCAGTCAAATGTTTGTCCAGTCTCTGGTTAAAAACCTCCAGTGTTGGAGCATTCACAACTTCTGGAGGCAAGTTGTTCCACTGATCGATTGTTCTTTCAGGAAATTTCCCCTTAGTTGTAGGTTGGGCCTCTCCTTGATTACTTTCCATCCATTGCTTCTTGTTCAGCCTTCAGGTGCTTTGAAGAGTAGGTTGTCCCCCTCTTCTGTGGGGCAGCCCCTCAAATACTGGAAGGCTGCCATCATGTCTTTCTTGCTATCATCTCTTTCTTTCAATAGGTCAAGAAATTTGCTTCAGAGCTCTCATCTACAGAGTCTTCAAAGGGACCCCAGCTAATAAACAACTTCCGTCCCATACAGAAGATTGGAGATCGGAAAGTAGAGGCATCTGATGCTTTGAAGTCTGCAGCTGCCATTTTTGTTTCTCCTCCAACTGTATTTATCCTCTTCCTTTCTATCACCACCTTTCTACAATTCTTCTATCTGTAAGGTAGGATGTCAGGAGTGAACCAGGTGGACTTGCAGTTCCTGAGAAGTCATAGCTAACCTTTCTGCCCTCTATATCAGAGTTGGTATTCAGTAAATTCTGACCAGTTCTGGAGAACCGCTAGCAGAAATCTTGAGTAGTTCGGAGAACTGGCAAATACCACCTCTGACTGGCCCCGCCCCCATCTGTTCTCTGCCTCCCCAGTCCCAGCTGATTGGCTGGGTCTTCTTTGGTTGCCCTGCACAGGAGAACGGAGCTGGAAAGCAGGTTAGTGGGGTGGGGAGGAATGAGGATTTTGCAGTAACCTTCCCCTGCCACGCCCACCAAGCCACATCCACAATTGGTAGTAAAAAAAAATTGAATCCCACCACTGCTCCACATGCTCCATTTTACTTAAGGTGACCAACTTTTTTACAATGAAAAGGAGGAAGAAAATAAATTGAAGAAAAAAAAACAAGGCCACTTGCGCACGGCACACTCTCTCAGAACAATTCTCCTGTGTGGAGCGCAGGCATCTCATAATCACGTCTCGCCGCACTGTACCAAGCCTTGATTAATCATCATGTCAAATGCAAATACGTCACATCGCCCACAACAGATTGGATCGGCATAGATCCAATAGGGAGATTTACGGGTTAGTCTTCAATATCAAAATGGAGGACATGTAGGAGGACACTTTTCGAGGGAGGACAGAACTTACAAAAGGAGGACTGACCTCCCTAAAGGAGGATGGTTGGTCACCTTATTTTACCTCCTCCTCACCCTCAACCAGATTGTTCGGGGGCAGAAACCCAGGAAAAATAAAGTTTGAAAGTTGAAAGGTGGCTAAAGATCAAAGAATCTTGGTTGGCAAGGTCCAGGAAGAGACCCTTTTCTGCTGTAGTCCCTCACCTTCTGGAATGTTCTCCCCCTTTGGAAATGAGGTCCATTCTGCCACTTGACCTGGGGCCACAACAGGGTCCTGCTACATTGGGGTGAATGACTGGGTAGAGAAGATCTTCACCCACCATCTTGGTAGTTTAGCTTTGTATTTAATCCTCCTAATTTTAATTGCTTTGTATTGCCTTTTTTGTACTTTTTATTGCATTGTAAGCTGCCTGGAATCACTGTATCAGTGAACCGAGTGGCTAAATAAATAAATATATAAATAAATAAATAAATAAATAAATAAATAAATAAATAGTGAGTGAGTGAGTGAATGAATGAATGAATGAATGAAGAAAAAAACAGAAACACAGGAAAAACTGGAGGAAAGCTAATACTGCTTGACCCAATCGCTGGGATATGTTGCTGTTTGTCACCTTAAGGCCAAAGCTGAAATGGAAACGCTTCATTCAAAATGAAGTATTATGACATTGTAAATCTGTAAATTATCATTTTCAAAAGATGATGTTTGGTATTTTTTAAGGTCAGAGAGATAAAATAGATGGTAGATATATGATGGGAGGGAGGGGAGGGAGAGGGAGGGGCGGGGAGAGAGGGAGAAAAAGGGAGAGAAGAGGAAAGAGATTCAGTTATGGGTGTAGGGATGGAGATCGTTTCATTTTTTTAAAGCAATGAACATCAGTTTTAGCTGTAGCTCAGGGATGTCAAACTGGATTTCTTTGAGGGCCGGGTCAGCATTGTAGTTCTCCTCCAAGGGCCGGCCGGGGTGGGGAGACTGGACCGACACCTGCACCATCCTGCCAGCCAAAACAGGTCACTGAGGGGGGCCTCGCACAGCCCCCCTGCGCTTGTTTTTGGCCTGGACAGCCTCCTGCAGTATCCTGCCAGTCAAAATGGGGGCATGGGGGGCCTCATGCACCCCACACATCCCATTTTGGCCTGCAGAGTGCTGCAGGAGGCCGTCCAGGCTGAAAACGGGGCGGGGAGCGCACGAGGGTCCCCGCGCCCCTTTTCAGCTGCCAGAGGCACCATGGGATGCTCCTTTGCTATTTCCAGGCCAGCTCCATTGGCCAGATTTAAGTACCGGGCAAGCCGGGACTGGCCTGCGGGCCTTGAGTTTGATACCCCTGCTCTAGCTGCACTAAAATAGGCATTGTGGTGACATTCCATCTGTCCTGCTCAACACAAGTGCTGCACAGAAACGCCGTCTTCCCCTTGTGGCAAATGCCACACTTCTGACTTCAGCAGAGCCAAGCCCATGCAGTTCATTCAGCTGATATCAAGGCTGTTCTGCAAGGCAGCATAAGCTGCTTATCTCTTTGGCAAATGCCAGCTGGAGAGGAATCAACCTTTGGAGATTGCCGTACAGATTTCAAATTTTTGAAATTGGGATTCAAATTTTTCACAACCGGTTATGTGGGCATGGCTTAAGGGTGGTGGTCATGGCTTGGTGGTCATGTGACTGGGTGGACATAGCTTGGTGTCATGTTATTGGCTGGGCGTGGCCAGCTCAATATCACTCACATCGAGGCACGCATTTCCTCACCTGACCTCTCATGACTGGGGATGCTGCAACAGTCGTAAGTGTGAAAAATGGTCATAAGTCACTTTTTTCAGTGCCATTGTAACTTTGAATGGTCACTCCACACAAGCAAAGTACCAGCAAAGGAGGGGAAAAAAACTCCAGAGAAGTTCCTGAGACAAGAAGTCTAGTCCTGCCAAGAACGTAATAAGGGTTAATGGAGAGGCAGTTTCTGGAAGCAACACCAGAATGTTTCCTTCCTGCCTTCCTTACAGGATTAGGCCAGTAATTTCTTCTAACAACCGGTTGTCCAAACTGCTTAGAATGTCAACAACCGGTTCTACCGAATAGGTGAGAACTGGTAGCATCCCACCCCTGTGCACCGGGTTTGGCAACGATGTCAGCCAGGAATTTGGCCCAGGCACATTCCAATTGTTGACCCTCCTGTTTCTTTATAATGACCAAACTTCGCTGGAACAGGAAGCTCAGAAATTCATTCATTTTTTAGAAACGGGGAGGGGAAGAAGGGCTAAGTTTGAGGATGAGTGATTTCTATGAACACAATGTTCACATGATCCTTGAACCCAGCTTGGATTGAATCTCCTCTCCACCAAGCACTTGTTACCTGTGAACATCGGCAAGTGTGACCAGTGTGCCTTGCCCAAATGGGATCTGAGCCAGAAATATAGATTCATTCAGGTAGTCCTCGACTTATGACTACAACTGAGATCCAAATTTCCATTGCTAAGCAAAACAAGTTAAGTAATTTTTCCTCACTTTAAGACTTTCCTTGCCATAATTGTTAAGTGAATCCCTGCAGTTGTTAAAGTTACCAACATAGTGCTTAAGCGAATCTGGCTTCGCCATTGATTTTGCTTGTCGGAAGGTCACAAAAGGTGACCTTCCCACCTAACCCTGGGACACTGCAAATAAATGCCAGTTGCTAAGCTTCCAAATTTTGATCATGTGACTGCAGGGATCCTGCAACAGTCATTAAGTGTGAAACATTGTCATAATAAGTCACTTTTTTTTTGCAGCATCACTGTTACTTCAAACGGTCACTAAATGAATGGTTGTAAAGGAAGGACCCTCTGCGCCTTTTTATTTAAACACACAAGTAAGGAGAGGTATCTCACCCAAACAGAGGTAAAAACAACAACTTAGAAAGTCAAAGAAACACTTTATTCAAGTTCAAACATTTATTCAATGTTCAAACATTTGTTCAATGTTCAAACACGAGTTCTTTCTTTGGCTAACATCATTTGAGTCATTTGTGATATAGCATTCATGCTCAGCAACTTTATATGCAACATGTAACATTTCGTCACATCCAAAAACCTCTGAATATGATTTTGATAACGCTCATTATATTCAGGAGGTGTGGCTGTTACACTATAATGAGTTTACAAGTTATTAGAGTTGAAATCTACGTACAGTTCTCATCTTTAGCAGCTTTGAACCAGTTCTTGTCAGACTATACACTCCTCACAGAGAATTTGCTTTGTTACTGCAAAGAACTAGAAACATAAATCAGAGAAACTCCTAACTACTGAAAACATTACTCAAAGAGGCCCTCCTCTCCTGTTGCCATCAGACCTAGTAAAAAAAATGAAAGCCCACCTTTTTAAACCTTCTTTTGTACCCTGGGGTTAGAAAAGCAAACAAGCAGACTTCTTACAAATTTCACCTGGGTGCAGATAGAAAGTTCACCCTTACCTTTTTATTGGGGACACTGAAGAATGTAACAGAAGGTTTTATTGATTTTACAGAAGATAACATTGAAAAGGCACTACACAAACTAAAACCATCTCTATCTATTGGCTCTGATGCCTGCTTCTTTAAAAAGCTTTCCACTGCCATAGCCAAACCACTAAGCACAATCTACAAGATATCTTTTAGATCCAGCACTTTGCTCGACTTACGGTCATCAGCCACGGTCATTCCTATCTTCAAAAAGGGAGACCCCAGCCTAGTTGAAAATTACAGACCAATCTCATTATGTTGTGTTACCTGCAAAGTTATGGAATCAATCATCAACCAATCCATTACTTAGAGACAAACCTACTCTATAACAAATAGTTTGGTTTCAGGAAAAATTGGTCCTGTAATCAACAACTCCTACATTGCAAAAACATTTGGACTACACAACTCGACCAGGGTAAAACAATAGACACAATTTACATAGATTTCTGCAAAGCCTTTGATTCAGTGGTACACAACAAACTATTGTTAAAACTATGCTCTTACAGCATTTCTGGATCACTGCACAAATGGATAGCTGCATTCCTGTCAAACAGCCAACAAGTAGTCAAAATACGGAGTGCCCTATCAAACCCTGCACCAGTTAACAACGGTGTCTCCCAAGGCAGCGTTCTAGGACCCACTCTCTTTCTAATTTACATAAATGACCTTTCCGATCATATTAAAAGCAGCTGCGTCCTCTTCACTGATGACATAAAACTATTTAACACCACTGACAATACTGCTACCCTATAAAGCAACCTTGACTATGTGTCAGAATGGTTGAACAATTGGCAACTTCAATTCTCAACCAACAAATGCTCTGTCTTAAAAAACAGGCAACAAAAATCAGAACACTAAATACAAACTGGGCAGATATGACCCTTACTCTGTCAAGGACCTAGGAGTACTCATTTCAAAAGATCTGAGCCCCAGAGCTCACTGTAACAGCATTGCCAAAAAGGCATTAAGAGTTGTTAACCTAATTTCCAAAGCTTCTTCTCC